TTTTTTTTTTTTTGGTTGTTGTTGTTGTGCTCCCATACTCTGAAATCCCCTCTAACACGACAGTTGTATCAACGACTTCTTCCCCGACCTTGTCATTGTTCCCCTGATTCTACTGCCACCTGTCGGTTGTCCTTATCTCCACTTGGATCCCCTGGGTCAGGTACCGCGGCCCAGTAGTTTCCCAGCAGAGTCTGAGTCCTTCCCCTATACCTTCTTTTCCCAAATACTACGTACCGTCATTATTATAGCTTCTTTTGAGGCTGCTTTCAGTCTAGATGCAGCTATAATGACGGTACGTTGTATTCGGCGGAAGAAGGTAGCCATGTGCATGCAAGATATATTCTGCATGTTCATGCAGAACAGCATTACAATAGGTTGGTGGGTGTCGAGGCCCTGACGAGTTGAAAGGTGGAGACAGTGCCATGCAGCCTGGGCACTTTGGGGCTTGTGGAGACAGTGCCATGCAGCCTGGCACTTTGGGGCTTTTTTGTTGTTCTACTGAAATCCACCCTGAACGTTCTCTGTCTCAGATGGCTACCGTCTTCCCCCGAACACAACGCACCCTCATTTTGAATGCATCTGACCGGAATGACAGCTAATGTGCATACGCAATGAGGGTGCGATGTATTCGGGGAAAAGATGGTAGGTTCCATTCTTCGGCAAGAATGTAAATTGCGAGCTTCATTGCTTCTCATGGCCGTTTTGCCAATCAGACAATTTTGCTGTATAGGCTCAAGGACGCCTACCGTCTTCCCCCGAACAGAACGCACCCTTATTTTGGCTGTATCTGGCCGGAAATATAGCTTGTGTACATTCATTTTTATGGTGCGTTATGTTCGGGGGAAGACGCTAGTATTGCCTACCATCTTCACCAGAATGCTCGCTGATTATATCTGTATTTGGTACAACTTTCAGTCCAGGTACGGCAATAATGACCGGGTGTTTCTATTGGGGTGCAGACGGTAGGCGGCCCCCATGTCTAGGTGTGCATATGGTTTCCCATGCTAACTTGGCAAAGAAACTCTGGTCTGCTGTGCCATAGCAAACAAACAAACAAAAAATAAAAGCATCATTGATATGCATGTAGCAGCGGTGATCCTTCCCCCCCCCTCTCCCCCCCCCTCCTCTCCCCCTCTCCCGCCCCCCTTCTTGAAGTATGCTTCATCCCGCGCAGTAAATAGTTTTGCTTTTTTATGTCATTTTGGCACCATGAGTGGAGGTTATCTAGTACCCATTGTTGAAATGATTTACGTATTCGTTGTGAAATTGGTCGATGAAGAAATAAGTGGTGTACCAGCAGTTCGCACGATCTTTTGGTTCCTTCCGTCTTTGTCACTTGGCAGAAATCAGAGAAATGGGAATGCTGCTGCCGTTCGAAGAGTGACAGCTGATGGTTTTTAATCCACCCTGCCATTCTAGCAACCACCACACTTTTCTTGCAACAGATTTTCTTCTTCTTTTTTTTTTTTTTTTTTTTTGTTGGCCTTGTTCTCTGCATAAGTGAAAAGATACTTGGAGCCCTCCCTGCAATCAGGTCTGAAGCGGTATTTGGGACCACCTGCCTCATTCGCCAGTCCGCTTGTAGTCTAGGCGGAAAGGGGAAGGGGGGAGGAAGCAGACCGATTGGGTACTACTACCGTCTTCCCCCGAACTCAACACACCCTTATTTTGGCTGTATCTGGCCGGAAATATAGTTTGTATACATTCATTTTTAGGGTGTGTTATGTTGGGGGAAGACGGTAGTTGGACGCTTCGAACAACTGACAGGATTCGTCTAGTGTTGCATTATGCAAGGACTGGGGGGGGGGGGGGGGGGGGGGGGGGGGGTTCATTTTCATAAGCAAGTGAGCGGTCATCTGTGAGAGCTGTATATCCTTCCAATGCAAGGTTCTAGTTAGTTTCAGCCCATGTAATGTTGTCTTATGAATCTTATGACGGATATTTTTTGAGCAGAACCTGGACTAAGGGAAAGAGAAGGGGGGTTCAGAGGGTGCCCTTTTCTCAAAAAGGCCTGGTTAAGCCACCAGTATACTTCCTGAAGTCCTGCCCACCCGTATACAGGCCACGATTTTAGGAAATGTACGGGCCACTACAGGAGCGCCCAAATTCATCCGAGTAGAAATGTTTCTGCTCTTATTTTTGTCCGTGGCGGATAGCTGGGCGAAGTACTGGTGGTGAGTTTAAACCGTCAGTACCTTTCTCGTACATCGGCCGGGGCTTGTGCATGCCAAGCTTTGCGAATGCATCTAGCCGCTGCTGCCAGCCATTTACGGTTTCCGTGTTAACCGCCACTCGTTTTTTTTCTTTTCTTTTTCTTTTTCTTTTTGTTTTTCTTTCCTTTTTTTTTTTTTTTTTTTTTTTGTTAAAGCGGGGACAGGTATTGGCGGTTTAACATATGAACTGTCTCTAGCGGTCGCACTAGCATAGAAGGCCCAAACACTCTCTTTACAGTATCTGGGGCGAAAGCCCATTTTTCCGCACTGTCCCCATGCTGAAGGTGCACCCCACTTTGTCGAAGGCCTTCTCAGTGTCCGATATTCATCAACCTCTCTCCCCTCGCTTCTCCCTTCTGACAGTCTCCATTCGCTTGAACCACCATTAGTATGTGGTTGGAAACCGAGCGCTCTTGAATAGAAGCTCCCTGTTTTGAGCCTATGAGGCTACTGTCTTCACCCGAATGGAACCGTGACGCCCGGTCATTATAGCTGTATCTGTCCTGAAAATTACACCAGATACGGCTATAATGACCGGGCGTTCTGTCTTGAAAATTGCACCAGATACGGCTATAATGACCGGGCGTTCTATTCGGGTGAAGACGACAGGCAGCTATTGTGCAAGTCGCAACGCCTGTGCTGCAGCTAGAATCTTATACGATACAATGAAAACTACGATGGGTTGGCAATTGCACACCCCTCGATTACCGCCTTCCTTGTATCGAAAGGTGGGAATGCCCTCCACTATCCCTAGTGAAAGAGGGTTATGGACAAGCGCTCCGTAGTACAAATCGTTCAAGAAGGGTGCAAAGGCTTCCTGATCCCCCAATTGTGATAGTTCGAATTGTAATCTGTCAATTCCCGGGCCCTTTAAAATATGTTTTGCTGCTGTATGTGTACAGCTCAATCTGAGAAAACAGGGCCATCTGAATGCTTGTGTGTACTGGCTGGTACTGGTATGTGTGTGTGATCCTAGTAAGAAGTTTGAATGTCAAAACCTGAATTACTATTCAGGTGTCATAGGGGGTTCTTGTCATTAGTCGGCCACAAAAAATGAACCCATGTCTTGAGTGAACACTGCCATTCTTATTTCGAAAGGTTGTGGCAGTTCTTTGATTGGCGGCTTTCTCTGATGAAGGGTTGGTCATGTGAAGGACACCTTTGTCATTGTATCATGGCCGATGATTCCCCCTCATCATAATAGTCGTCCTTCGTGTTTGTTCGTGTGTGTTCGTTTGTGTGTGTGTGTGTGTGTGTGTGTGTGTGTGTGTGGTGCAGTCCAGGGTGCACCTTTGTCATTGTATCATGGCCGATGATTGCCACTCGTAATAATAGCCATTCTACTAACTATTATGGTTGTTTTGATTGTTCCAAATCTTTCAATTGTGCAAGGAGCATTTTTTTTCTGTCGTTGGCCGAGTAGCATCCAGTGAAGGTGTCATCCCCCATTTTGGCTTTTTTTCTGCCTCTTCTACTGCCTGCCTTGAGGGACTTCCGCCCCCACCCCCCCTCTCTCTCTACAAGAACAGTTAGCGGCTTTCATCCTTGCGAAGGTGATCATTCGAGATCTTTACATAATGTGGGTTCTTGTTTCCACCCAGTCATATTTCGTTCGTCAGCAATTCTTTTGTCTTGTGCCATCATGCTTCCATCTGATCTAAGATTCGGATCTGTGTAGCTGTCCGTAACTTCCATGTCCGGATAATGTATGGGATAATAAAGTCAGAACTCCCAATTCTTCCTCTTCTATGATTCGGATCTGATCTAAGATTTCATCTTACCATTCGGATCTGTGTAGCTGTCGGTATCTTCCATGTCCATACCTTTATAGACTACGTATCACAACCTTTACTTCCATGTCCATACCTTTATAGACTATCACAACCTTTACTTCCATGTCCATACCTTTATGGATTAAGTATCACGACTCCTCTTGTGCTGTC